GCCAACGGTAGCGCAGTCCAAGCCCCTACCCCGGGCTTGATCAACCTGGTATCCTCGAAGAAACCTAAGCCAAAGAGACGCAGTGCCGGTGCAGAAAGGATCGAGACGGATCGCTTTAGTGGTGCATACAACCCTCGGCCTGTTTCGATGGCGGTTACCCCTGGATCTATGGCTGCCCGGCAAAATGCGGCCATCTCTCCTGGCCTAGAGTCGGTCGAGGTGGAGCTCGAGAACTTGCTTTCTGAAGAGGAGGACTTGAACGAGGAAGTTGCTATGGGTCTCATCCGCAACTTGAAGATTCCCCTCCCAACTTCGACACCGCCACCAACTGAGAAGGAAGTTCTGTTCCCAGCATACCTGATCAATCTTGTTACGTCGGAGATGTGGAACAACGGGTTTGTTAAGGAATCAGAGCGATTCTTGGCCAACGTTATGCAGTCCATCCAGCAAGAAGTTATGCAGCATGATGGAGACGATGCGATTAACCCAGGTGCCTTCTGGTTATCCAACGTGCATGAGATGCTATCCTTTGTCTTCCTGGCTGAGGATTGGTATGAAGCGCAAAAGACCGAGAATTATGAGTATGATCGCCTGTTGGAAATTGTCAAGCACGACCTCGAGAGCTTGGAATTTAACATCTATCACACTTGGATGAAGGTCTTGAAGAAGAAGTTGTACAAGATGATCGTTCCAGCCATCATTGAGTCTCAATCGCTTCCCGGATTTGTCACCAGTGAAACGAACCGCTTCCTTGGAAAGCTTCTGCCCTCCAACAATAACCCAGCTTACAGCATGGACAACCTCCTCAGTCTATTGAACGGTGTCTACAAGGCAATGAAGGCATTCTACCTTGAGGACGCCATCATTCTCCAGACCGTCACGGAGCTCTTGCGCCTAGTTGGTGTCACTGCTTTCAACGATCTTCTCATGCGACGTAATTTCCTGTCGTGGAAGCGTGGTCTGCAAATCAACTACAACATCACTCGTATTGAGGAATGGTGCAAGAGCCACGATATGCCAGAGGGGACATTGAAGCTAGAGCATTTGATGGTAAGTTTTTTGTTTAATGCTCATTTAGTGATTATACTAACGGATTCACAGCAAGCGACCAAGCTTCTGCAGCTGAAGAAGGCTACTCTAAATGATATCGAGATTATTCAAGATATTTGTTGGATGTAAGTGAACCTTGGCGGTGTCTTTTCCTATGAGTTCACACGACTAACTTCATTACAGGCTATCTCCAAACCAAATCCAGAAACTTCTAAACCAGTACCTGGTGGCGGATTACGAACAGCCCATCAACGGCGAGATCATGAAGGCCGTCGCTTCTCGTGTCACAGAGAAGAGTGATGTGCTCCTCCTGGCTCCGGTAGACATGGAGGATAGCGGCCCGTATGAGATTGCCGAGCCGCGTGTTATCACTGCTCTGGAGACCTATACTCCATCTTGGCTCCAAACACCGCGGTTGAAACGACTTGCTGAGATTGTGTCGGCGCAAGCGATGGCACAGCAAGAGAAGCTCGAATTTGACCATGGAATGATTGAGGAATAGATCTGTACCTGTTGTATATTAGACTTTGGGATTTCCTGTGAGCTACGGATTACGACTTGCCTGGATTATCCATGGCCTTTGCGATACAGTGATGCGCATGATTTTCATTTTTCAATTGCATATGACGTCTTGGCTTATAGAGCAGAAGAGATTGCTAAGTGAATTCCTGTAAATGATTTCCTCTATAAACGACAAATCCAAAACAATACTCTCAAAGGGTTGTTTCGATCTCGTGAGTAGGCTCACTATCGCTCTCTTCCACGGTGCTTTCGGTTTTTGCTTTTTCTTGACTCTTCAATTTCGCATGAAATGTCAGTGTGTACTCATCTGCATCCCACGATAGAGTCCTGGTCTCCATTTTCATCACCTTCCTAGCAACTAGTAGTTCCATCTCATCCCTTTCCTTCTCATCCAATAGACCCAATCTCTCTTTCCATGCTCCTTCGATATCCTTAGTAGGTCCAAAAAACCGCGGGTCAATCTTCTGCCAGTAAATATTTTAGGCACATCATAACTTGTTCAGCTTAATAGTTAAGTTGATACCTAGGTATATTAGGAATATTCTGTCTTGGCCCTACTTCTCATCTAATGATTCATGTTGGTGATGAGCACAGGGCTCCCTAGCCATTGTGCGCTTATAATTCCTACTCAAAACATCTAGACTAGTTGCCCAGGCTAGTGAAGTCTCATAACTCGAGCCTCGAGTTTTTGAGCAGCGTCAGCAGGATCATATCTCATTATCTTATGGTCCCAACAACTCCTAGACGGTAAGCAGGCATTTCCTAGCGTCTCTGAGAGGCAGTCATGTTATTCTAGAGATATAAATACGACAAAGAATTCCTGCAGTTTCGTTGATCCTTACCACAAACTACAAACAGTCTACCAGTCTTTAAAATCAAATTCTTTTGCTTGACTAATATCTTCAGCATTACCAACCTTCCAACGTCCGGCATATTGACGAGTCTCCGTTGAAAACACTCTCCATGCAAAAAGAACAAAGTCTAGCACAATAGTGGACGGCAAGCCTCTCCTGATAACGCTATAGACCATGTTCGGCTTTCTATCAAACCGAATGGATCCTACCTACAGCTGGAGCACTACTACACCCAACCATCAGCAATTCTATCTAGACTGCAATTCTTACATACCTGAATACGTAGATACGGGTCTTAGCGTATGTATCTATAGTCAAGTCACATTCAAATAATATATCAAAACTAGAACGGCAATCAAGCCAACAATTTAGCCGTACAGCAGTACAGTTCCACCAAAGCAGTGAGGACAACGACTTCGATATAGCCATTCCAAGGTGGAGAAAATACGAACTCGATTTTAAAATCCTAGTAAAACATATATCTTGCGGTGTAAATCTTTCCTTAACTGTTTGAGAGAATCTTCAGTGGCAGATATCGGTCAGCGGTAGCGCAGTGGGGTATCTAGTCTTATCTTTGACTTCGCAACTCACAACTTCTACCACATACCAACATCTCTACCTATATAGCCAAAATGACTCTCACCAAGCTCAACTTCATCACCGGAAACCAAAACAAGCTCCGCGAGGTGCGGGATATCCTCGGTAAGGTCATCGAGGTGGACAACCAGGAGGTCGACGTCCCCGAGATCCAAGGCACAATCGAAGAAATTGCCAAAGAGAAGGCCAAACGTGCGGCCGAAGCGGTAATTTCTTTCTAGATGTTTTTTTTTTTACAAATTATACCTGCTTACGAAGGAATAGATCAATGGACCTGCCTTGACCGAAGACACTGCGCTTGAGTTCCATGCGCTCAAGGGTCTCCCTGGGCCATACATGTATGTCTTTTCTATATTAATGGCATAATCGATGATAATAGTACTGATGATTGTCAAGCAAATTTTTCATGGAGAATGTGGGTCATGAGGGCCTGAACAAGATGCTCGATGGCTTTGAGGACAGGACTGCCGAGGCTGTGTGCACCTTTGCCTTTTGCCGGGGCCCTGGTGAAGAGCCTATTGTTTTCCAGGGGAGAACTGAGGTGAGGCAAATACAGTCATTCTAATTATATTTTGATCTAACTGATGTACAGGGTACTATTGTTCGGCCCAGAGGCCCAGCAAAGTTTGGTAAGTCATTCGACTGAGTTTCGCACAGAATCAAGATCTGATATATGACAGGCTGGGATGCTATCTTCGAGTATAACGGCAAGACCTATGCTGAGATGGACAAAGAGGAAAAGGTAAGAACGATTTTGTTTCCCGCGAAACAGCCATGTACTAAGAGTCCTGTGAACAGAACAGCGTTTCGCACCGTGGCAAGGCGCTGGTAAAGTTGCAGCATTGGCTCGCCGAAGGCCAACAATAAATCGTCATGGGTATATAACTCGGCCTGCAAACGACCATAGAAGAATGAGAAACGAAGATCAAAAATTTTATATGGCCGGACGAAGTTCCTTAATCCGCATTCTCCGCGTGCGATTGTTTCCACGAATCGACCCATTGCGCGATGCGCTGACAGTTCGAGTCCACATCTGAATCCTGCTCGCTATTCAATTCTACCACGATCTCTTCGTCAAATGCCTCCCGAGCTTCGTCTAATAGGACGCCGAAGATTTCTGCGTCAATGTTCTCGTCCAACTTCTTCTCGTGGTATCCCCTTGAGATAAATGTTAGTTTACAGACGTAGATAGGTTTGCGACATCGACTATCATACCGTGAGGAGAGTCGGTCATATAGAACATCTGTAGTGGGGCAGCGGAGGACAACGACGAGATCGATCCAGGACTTTGGGAAGAGGTCACAGGCATGCCAGTCGATTAAGTAGCCGCCATTAGGGATCTCGTCTTCGAGGGCATCGAGGAGCTATGTCGCGCATGTATTAACATGTGAATTTTCGATTGAAACATGGTGCAAAGAGTAAAATTCTAGGCGAAGGGCAAATAATTGTGGGAAGCATTCTTACCTTGTCCTCATCGACAACCCAGGTCTTCAATTCCTCGTCATATTCATCGAAGCAGCCACGGTCCTTTGCGACCTGGTTAATGGACAAGTGCTTCAAGCCGATCTCTTGCGCGAGTTGTTCACAGTGGACGGTCTTCCCGACGCCGGGGGTACCGGTGATTATCACATTTGGTGAAGTGCGCATATTTTCTTAAAGTATAGAGATATAGAGATATTAAAGTCGAATTGTAGATTGAAAATGAGTTTCCCCAGATGAAATAATTCCATCGGACTAATTTTCGTCCCGGCTATCTTATCGTGGAGGGGTAAGTTACCGCATCTGGAATGTATAAAAAACATTTATAGTAACTTTGCTTTGTGTTTTATGTTTTGTTAGGTATGATACAAAGATATGTAGTGTTAGTTGGATTTAGTTGATTCTATGTGGCTTCATGTTCTGAGCTGGTTATGCATAGCCTAGTACTGATTAGTACCGAAATAATCACCTGGGCATAATAAAATTTGAAATAATCACTCACTTGAGAAGCTCAAATATCTTGTACTTTTGCAGATAAGGCGTCCCTCTGCGATATGCTTTGAGAAGGCGAGTGGGATCCGAGGGCTCGACAAAGGCCCTGATCAGACGCTCCATTGCTGGGGAAGTCTTGAACATAGGATCGAATACTAGCAGATTTGCGCTGCCGTTTTCCCGTATTTCAAATCCGACAATTGTCATAGAATGACCTGACTTGAGTTAGAGAGATACATAATACGTGATAAAAATCCTAAGAGGCTGTACCTTGATGTTGGAAGTATATCGGAGGGAGATCAGTCTGGAGGATCTTCGAGTCGTCTTCTGGTGAGCATGCTGACCGGAAGTAATCGGCAACATCAATGTAAAGAGCATCATGGGCCCGTACACCGTTTCTTTCAGACAGACTCCTAGCTTCACATCTGGAGGCTGGTGTCAGCGACGTCGAAGCAAATCAGACCAGGATGACTCACGGAATTTCTAGGCTCATAAAAAGTGCTTGCGCCTAGGTAATCATCAGCATAAAGAAGATAAAGACGATCCATGAAAAAGCTTACCTCGGGTGTCCCAATAAACTTGCGTGTACCTTTGATACCACCCGTCTCAACTCTTCCGGAACTATTGAACCCCATATCCCAGGCCGATTCAATCATATCCTGCAAGTCAAGAATCGTTGGCTCCTTTGGGAAGTGCTTATGGCCAAAGCCACGAGACTTTATCAACCAGGAAACCATCATTTGAATATTACGATAACCACAGAACCCGCCTTCCCGACGCATTTTGCAGATATGGCGGACTTTGGGGCTGCAGAAGAATGCCCGCTGGACAGATTTGTCCTGTTCGCATAGTCGAGCAAGAACAGGAATCAGATGGTCAGTCTCATTTTCTACTGTCTCGCGTCGTTTTAATTTGTCGCTGCTTTCTAGCATTTTCTTTAGCCATGATGGCATTTTCTTCTCGTGTGCATAAGGACCCAACTCCGAGCGCTGGTTATTTGTTAGTATTTAGCTCTAAATATAAAAATATGGGACAAATACCCCTAATCTCTTTATGCCATCGGCATTGGTTGTCCTTGGGGGACTGTGAGGCCGTGGTGGCTTCGCGGTGTTTACTCGCGTGGAGTCTCGCTGCATCCCTCGTTTGCCTCCTTTGTAAGAGTCGAGCATATCGAGGGAATCTTCATCATCAAATGACCGATCATCCTCATAGCCATATTTGTCTGCACTATCCTCGTCCGCTGGCCAAAGGGCCGAGTTTTGACCGGTGAGATCTTGCGAATTATCCTGCAGGAGACTAGTTTCCCTAGTTTCTGGATGGCAGAATTCGATATGTTGTGACACGAAATCAGTATCAGAGTCTGCGAAAGGACAAAAAGGGCATGAGATAGTGTTGTCCGTCATTATGGAGTTTTCACCCAGTGCTGATGCTGGAGGGGAAATTGTTAAGTTGATGCTTGGCAGACACGTGCGATAGTACCAAACGATGTAAGTCGTGCAAAATGAATAAGAAAAGGAAAGCCACAGTTAACGAACAGTCCAGAAGTATAGTTATGTAGACAAAGAATTAATTTGATGCCTAAACGAGACGGTGCCCGTTTCCTGAGACCCACTACGGCTGAGTTTAGCGTCCAACTCGTACAATGCCCAGGGATTCCTTCAATATTGTGTTATCCATCGTTCTTTCCATCTTTACCTTCTTACCTTCTGAACTTCCTTCCTTTCTTGCGTGTAAACATTGCACTTCCCACGTTGGGATCGGTGATAAGAGTATCATGTGATATTGTATTATATAAGCCTGAGACCACGTGAACCCTAACCCAGACTTGAACCTAAAAAGCACCTTCACCAGGACCTGCCCATCCATATATAGTAGTTTGTTACTCTTGGCTATTATCTCATTAGTTAAGAGCTGGTGTCATTAATATTTCTACAACATAAATCAAACTATGAAATTGTTAATTATTATATCAATATCTCTCCGGAAATTTTACCGGTGGTTCAATATTGCGGAGTTATTTCACTGTCTAGGCCACTCACAAGCCGCTAGTTATTTAACCCCCTGAGTGCTGATCTCATATGACCCACCAATCTCCGACCAAACCCCCGGAATCCCCACTAAGAGCCACCACATCCATGGACGCCAGTGGCTTGAAGTGTTTAGCTGTGAAGAGTCCTTGGAGCCCGAGATGACAAGTGTTGAGTTGTCTGCTCGTCGGAGGAAGTGGGCTCCCAAGCTTAAGTCTGGGTGTATGACCTGCAAGTAAGATTTCCATCTCAGATACCAAAAGCACTCGCTAACTCTTCAGATATCGTCGAGTCAAATGCGATGAAGAAAAGCCTCAGTGTCGGCGATGTACCTCGACAGGTCGGAAATGCGGATATGCTCACCCACCTTCTGTGGTAGAAGGCTACGGATCATGCCACAACAATGATTTGTGTCAACGACTGGTTAAGGTAAGTAGCTCAGACAAACGGCGTACGAATGATTTAATCACACCGCATAGTGCGATACCGTCAGTCCTGGAAGTTCATCTTCTTCGTTTGGGAGTCACCCTTTGGACAAAGTAACACACTCACATACGCAACCTTCAGAGCGAATTGAGGGAGTTCGACGACTGACTGAGCGAAAATTTCCCCTTATATATCCCCTGGCCGAATCGTGGAATGTCCACTTCATTCCATTCGTCATAAATAAGTTCAGGCTTTCATTTCAAATGGCTAAAAGCATCTACGATACTGTTCCCGATGTCCTTTCTAAAGCGGAGGAGCAGTCCGCTCTATACCAGGCCTGCAATGCCGTCGCACGCTCTTATATGGCTAACATTACCCGAACTTCGAAGGCAACCTCGGATCGAGCTAAAGCATACGGAATTGCGCTTATGGCTATCCGTTCAGCTATCCAGGATCCTCAACAATGTAAAAGCGACAATACATTATTAGCCATATGGCTGCTAGGACTATACGAGGTAAAATGATGTAGCAATTGGCGAGTAACAACTAAGCTGACACTTGGATCAAGCTCCTCTTAGGCGTGCGAAGTGACAATGAGCCAGTTGCGACTCCTGGGTGGCAAATTCACAACCATGTGTTGTCAGAGATGATCCGCCTGCGTGGCTCGGAGCAGTTTACTACTCGGAACGGGCGGAATCTTTTCGTCGTTATCTTGAACAGTGTGGTAGGTTGTTCGCCTTCATAGATTGTGTTCATGGCTAACATTAACTTACTAGGAAACCAAAGCACTCATGTCTGGCAAAGAAAATAAAGACGCATTCACATGGTTTCTTCTGTTCTATAAATATTGCGAACCATCAGAATATCCAATGCTCCGGGCATGTATTTTTTCACACCACTGTGCTAGCATTTGCAGCCGTATTCGCGCCCTAATTGATACAGGCGACCTCGACGAGATGCTGTCCAACTCTCCGTCCATTCTCCAAGACGTGGACGACGTGGAGCAAGCAACCCAACCCTTGTCTCACGAGAAGGCGGTGTCAAGCTATATGGTGGACCCCCCACTGACGCCGTATGTTCAGCCGAAGTACCAATACCCATGTTATGTCGGTGTCCAAGTTCTCCAAAGCAACTTCCGCATGCGCCTCTCATACGCAGTCTTGGAATTCTTGTGGTATGCTTGCAAGGCTCCGGCCTGTACGCCTCAACAGCGGATGATTTTTAAGCGGTACCAGCGTCGCTGTGTCGAGGAGATCCAAGCCCTTGTGAATAAAGCCTCACGTGTACTGCATGTTTTGCCTGATATGGGGTCTGATAACCTCCTCGATCAGAGGGAGGACGCAGCGGATGAACTAAATGGCAATGATTTCCGCACTGGAGAGTCGCCAGATACAGTGCAAGGTCCATCCGGAGAGGCACGCGAGCCCTCCGCCGGAGCTGTGAGGGTCTGTCTTGACTTTGAAAAGCAAGGTCGAAAATCCACTTTATTATTCAATCACACTGACCGTGGAATATCGGTTCTTCGGTTTCGGTTCGGGAATGAGACACAAGCACACTAGACAGGCAAGACCTTGCCCCAATCGAAGACATGTGTCTTTTCCTCGCACTTCGCAGTGGCTTTGTCTCCGGTGAAATACCAGTACGTCTTGCATATCCTACACAAACCCTTTTTGGAAGTACAGACATATTTTACGTTTTCTATCGGTATATAATGAATGGAGTACAAGCTTTATAGATAAACAACTAAAGTCTTAGCTTCAAGTCACCACCCATTGAATCCACACAAGTTGGTGTGGATGTCGATGTCCCCGTATGGCCAGGAGAGGCATTGGTGGCAGCAGTTTCGATGGGGTACCGCCAAGGTGTTATACTTCAAGTTCATCGAAGATATAGAGGCAATCGTGGCAAACACTAAAGAGGTATTTTTCGTGCCGCTAGAGACTCATGTGCTGGTAGAAAGTAGCAAGAGGCACCGAGCGTAGACTTGGTCATGTTGCAGTCTAAAGTCCCGGTGACGATGAAGATAGTACTATTCCAAGAGCTGATGATATCGTTTATGAAAGTCCTGGAAGGAGGGACCGGTAGTGACAGTATGGGGCAAGGGATAACCGGAAGAGGTGCATTGGTTGGTTGCGCTAGATCGACAGTCTGAATACTGCTATGATTAGGAAAAATGCGTGTGGTTTGGAGTACCCAATAATATTCAACACCCTACTTCTCTAAAATACAATGAATGAGGGTAGACAGATTCTGTTTTCAAACCACATGGTATTTACATCAAATCAGTTCGCCCATTATCTGCCCTGCCTTTCGCGCAACTTGCTGGGCATCTGGGCTGATATCCTCATATTTTACCATGAACAAGAACCGTTCCTTCCACAGCTGCCATCGCCCCTCCGTAAACCCGTGGCTTCCTTCCCAAAGGTCTGTTTCACCGGGAAGAACTTGTTGAATGTACTCAGAACTGTCGGGTCGATCATCCTTCCACATCAACCCCCCGGCATGGATTATCCATTGTGCAGTGGCGCATATATCAGTTGCCAGTAGTTCTGATACATCCATCTTGTACCATGGTGGCTGTCTCTGAAGCGCGGACTGTGCCTGACGTCTTCCCTTCTTGTACTTCGTCGGGTCCATCTCTAAACACTTCTTCAATAAACTCAAGCCTAAAGCACGAAGCTTTATTCCTTGACTAAAAGAAGTTGTAGCTAGCAGTCTTGCTGAGAAGGTATTCATATTAATCCATCTAGCGGTTGACTTAGATGCGGACACTGTCCATCCTGATGATGCATAGGGTGAGGTCATATCCCACTTGTCGCGCCACATGCTCCCGAAGCAGCCCAACCATTTCCGTATGTCTTTAGGTTCTGACTCAGATAGCTGTGAATCTAGTGCTTCGGCTTCAACCAAGAGCGCCAGCAATGAGGAATGACTTGAAGGAAAGTCGGCAGCGGCCTCATAAATTAGCTCCCAGAGAGCCCATGGCGTATCATCATTTTTGAAATCGAGCAAGCTCAGTTCTTTGATTGCGGTGGTTGAATCAATCTTGTTTGAGAATAGTTGCCGTAGGACCTCTGCATGAGGGCGTGCAGTGCTGTATTCAGGGTCTTTAGTTGTCTGGAGCCAGGATTCGTAATCAATTGTCGACATGATGGAGTTGATGTAGGTGCTACTACTAAGGGTGGCTGTTGATGGGACTTAAGCATATAATGATTTTACTCCTGGTACTTGGTTGCCTAAAATGAGTGTTGACAAAAACCGGCTGGCAGGTTGGGTGTATCCATCAACCGTCATCAAGGTAAGGTATGTACATTTAGAAAGGGTTGAGAACTGTTACTAGCCTGAGACAGATACGGTTTCAGGTCTCATATGGAAGGGCCATTTGAGTTGTTGCCAGGAGAACTTTTCTGGTCATTCAAGCCACCTGAGAGAGATCTCATTCGAAAATTTCGAGCCACTTATAAGTTCGCAATATCCTTACTACAGCAGAAAAACGGCAAGGAGTACTAAAGCGAAAAGGGAAAGCTATGTCTCTGATGTATATGTATCCAATACTCATAGAGAGGTTAGGCGACATAAAAGCTGACATCATTTTGGCCCCCAAGAAGTATAGCCTTCTAGCCGTTGATCTTTAGTTGAAAATAGTGGCAGCATAGCCCTTTTTATTGCCATATCGGGAAGATGATTGTCGGTGCCAAGATACTACAGCTTGGCATTCTATCAGCAGGGCTAGAGTTTCCAACCTGATTTTTCTAGATTTCACTTTCAAGGATTACTTTCAAAGATCTTGACACTGCCGACAAGATTTGTGTCGACGAGCGAGGGTTATCTCCTGATTTCAATGAGGGTGCGCCTGTTGACCAAAAATGTCCCCTAAAAGGCAACAGCACGATGCCGAGGAAACAATAGTGAAACAGCCATTATCGGTTTTTAGATCATGGTCATGGTTTCCAAATTATTCCAAAGCGCCCAAGGAGGAGGTGCAACAAGTAACGACCGATCCTGATCCTGTTCACAGATGGATAAAGGGTGTTGTGATCTGTTCATGGATCATTGGTGGAGTCCTCGCGTTGAACATCATCCTTACCATTATCGCTGCTGGTCTGGCATATTCGGGGGATAGTGGGCAAATTTTCTCATTCGCTTCACTCTACATGGGAAAGTGCACTACTTCCAAGAATTGGGCCACAGGCCTGCACCTCCTGATCAACATTCTCAGCACTGCCCTTCTAGGGGCGAGCAACTACTGCATGCAGTGTCTTGCAGCCCCTTCGCGAGAACAGGTGGATAAAGCTCACAGTCAAAAGACATGGATTCGAATCGGTGTGCCGAATATCATGGACCTTATTCGCTATCAAACAGGCAAGCGACGCCTTCTGGGATCAATCCTGCTGATCACCTCGCTGCCTATCCATTTGATGTTTGTGGTTTATATCGTTTGGATCCCGATGCATTTCAGCTGATCTGAATTTCTACCAGTTATAACTCGGCCGTCTACTTCTCTATTGGGCCAACGGAATATTCCGTTATTGCAGCGCAGGATAAGCTTATTCAGGAACACGGCAACTCCACAGAATTTGAGCAATGCTTTACGGAAAATGTTAGTATCGAATTGCAATCATTCAATGCTGCCATCCGTGATGGGAGTTTCAACACTCTCTCCAAGCAAGAATGTGTTGATACCTTTGCTCAAGACTATGCATCCGGGTACGGCATGGTTGTTCTGGTGACCAATGACCCAATGCCTCAAAACGAGTCTGTGGCCTGGATAGGAACTGGGAATAGCCAAAGCTTGGAGAGTGGCAATTCTCAATTTAGCTGGCTTTGTGATAGAAAATATCCCTGCACCAAAATTCTAGCTGAAGAAAACATCAAGAACTGGTCGGCTCACGCACTAATATGGTCACATCCCACCATACATCTGTCGGTGCCTATCCCAGGTGGGCTTTATGAGAGTGGAGGATGGTTGGATGTTGGACTTTACGGCGTCCCAGAAACCGAGGACTACAACCACCTTGATGATATTCTGGATAGATACCCTTCCCTGGAGGAGTTGCAAGCTGAGCTAGATAACCCTTCTGGCTGGGTTAACAGCTCATTTCCTGGTAGTGTGACAGCACGCAAAGGTGAACCAGATTGCGGGTACCGAACAGGCTATGGTGAACAGACTCCACAATCATATTCAATCGACCATTGCATGACCCTACCAGTTAAGGAGACTTGCCAGCTATTCTTCAGTCCACCGATCTGCCTAGTTGTGATTGGCTGCAATATAGTCAAGCTCATCTGCGCGCTGTTAGCAGCGCGTGAGAACAGAAAAGATATTTTCCTCACCACCGGAGACGCGATTGCGTCTTTTCTTACCAAAGCGGATCCAGCCACCGAGGGAGTTTGCCTACTGTCCCGGTCTCTGACCAACAAGAGAACACAAGGATGGCAGAAATACAAGGGCCGTGAACGCAAATATCTGGATTTTGTGGAAAAGGAAGATATGCCACTTCGTTTACCTTCAAGAAAACGATGGTTTCAAGCTGCGAGCATCTCACGCTGGGTGTATACGATACTCTTGTATGATATTACCTCTCTTTTGATACTGGCGACCTCGGCGAGAAGTTAGCTGACTCTAATCAGGTTTGTGTGCATGTTGGTCCCATCCATCATTGTTCTTCGCCTGGGAATTCTCAATTACAACAAATCATCCAAATCGAATAATATATGGAAGTCTGGCCTGGGAGATGCAAGCGCAGCGACCACCCTCAAGGGCCTGAGCATTCCCGCTACTGCAAGTGGAATATTTTCCATGATTTTCATGGCCAACGTACCTCAGATACTGGTCTCACTGGCTTACTTCTTTTACAATGGGCTGTTAACCTGCATGCTCGGCGCCGTCGAGTACGACAACTACGCCAAAGAGCAAAAGCCTCTCCGCGTATCTTGGCCGCGCGGCGCCCAGCGTTCAACATACTACCTCAGTCTTCCATATCGATACAGTGTTCCACTGTTGGTCGTCTCCGCTGTTCTCCACTGGCTCGTATCCCAGAGCTTTTTCTTTGTCCAGGTAATCCCATTTGACCGACACGGAATACCCCAAAGGAGCAATCCAGAGGTCCTTGTTACTTGCGGCTATTCACCAGTTGCCATAATTTTCGGAATAATTGTTGGTGGTTTGCTACCAATTGTGGCCATACTTCTGGGCTTGCGTCGCTTCAGATCGCACATGCCGCTGGCTGGACAGTGTAGTGCGGCAATCAGCGCTGCGTGTCATCCAATGACTACCGCAGTCGACCATGCACTGAAACCGGTGCAATGGGGTGAAGTTCCAGATAGGGTCTTGTCACATGGCATTTTTTCGAACACAATAATAACGGATGTTGAGTTTAAAGCTCGATCGAGTTTTGGAAATGACGAGCAAAGGCCATCTTTGGCCACGGAGCTGGATACAAATGATTCCAGAGCTGTTGGTTACTTGCATTGCACATTTACCTCGGAGGATGTTAGTGAACCGAGCACATCACGTCTCTATCTCTAGCTAGTGCAGGGTGGAATTGGTGGAAATCTGTAAATCCTACATACTTAGGATAATCTAGATATAATAATTGTTAGAAATGAGAGTCTTAAGAAACAACCAAAAGGTAAAACACTAGACCTGTGTTCACCTGGAGATGCACTTGTGTACAAGATGGATGTAGTGAGCGTTGTGTCTCTGTGTATAAACAAACAAAGCGCGAGAGACAAGGAAGAATAAATAAGCTAATATCTAGTACTCAACAGTAGGTCGCCTAGTGGTATGTTGGTAACATGACAATGTGTACCACGAGGGATGTGCCTAAGATCTTCCACTACCTGACTATTCCCTTTGACTCTGGTCGTGATTGCGTTTGATTAATTATTTTTGGGTGTCAAAACCTCCCTCTTCTTTTCTTTTTCGAAGACAACCTGGAATTGTTAGAGCCTCATATCAGGGTCGATGCCTGAGGCACTTAGGCTCAGTATTCACAATTCTTCCCTTTTGGTCCTCTTCCTATATTCCCTGTCAATGGTTTTCATACTTACAACTCACTAGGGCTGACTTAGAGGGGTTTTATATCACAAACAAATGTGTATTTTACGCTAATTTGCACACAAACACATCTGTATCCACGCCTGGGGCTTTATCCTATGTCCTAGTCTATTACCTCATTTGCACTAGCACTAGAAGTCAATAGGGACATGTAATGCTGTCTTTATAGTGAGTATGCCCACAGCTTGATGTGGGGATTATTAGTGAGTCATCCACAGCTCGGAATCGAAAAGGTATCGAAATGGAGTTACTATCATTAACAATCCTCCATGAGCTTCATACAATGTAAGATGAATATAATAGATTCCTTAACACTAGTAAAAAAGCCAATAAATCAAGATTGGGAACTAACGTTGGGATGCAATGCAGATGTGTAGATGGCTTTATACTCCGGAAGAACATTCACCCGAAGCCCAATGAGGGGCCTTTCATATGAAAATGGCGTGATTGGCGGGGCCTCCGACATCGTTTGGTTCTTGACTGAAACAGGCAGGCGGTATCCACTTCCATAACTCTATTGCCAATTGAGTCACAACAAAAAAAATATGCAGCCGGAAGTGGCCCCAATGGTCTCCGCTTTCGCCGATTTCCCCTCCAAAACCACTTCTAACTCCCTTGCATTACATCGTACAGTCTTTACTTTTTTTTTTGGGTCGACATTATGGCTACCACCGTTCTTGATTCAAATTTGCCAGTGACCGCGCAGGCCCACAGCAATTGGGTCGTGCAGAAATTCGGTGGTACTAGTGTTGGCAAGTTCGCGCTCAATATCATTGAGCAAGTGGTCCAGTATGACGCATTTTCTCGATTTCGACTTTGGACTGAATGGACACTGACAATCTTATAGACCGAGCCTCGTGAACAACAGAGTTGCCGTCGTATGCTCTGCGAGAAGCAGCTCTACAAAAGCTGAAGGCACAACCAACCGGTGAGTCATCGTGATACTCTTCAGCCATACCAAGATTGATATACTAATACCAATCTCTCCGGAACAGACTATTGCGGGCAGCACGGGACGCTGAACATCCTCGTTCGCGGCAATATCTGACATTGGTGGAGGCTGTTCGTTTGGAGCATGTTCAAGTCGCCCAGGAAGAATTGAAGTCGGTAGAAATAAGAGATAAAGTGATCGCGGATATCACTGGAGAATGTGAGCGAGTACTCAAGTTCCTGGAGGCTGCTCAGACTCTAGGAGAGATCAGTTCGCGCTGTGTGGACAAGGTGATGAGTGCCGGCGAGAAGCTGAGCTGTCTGCTCATGGCTGCTCTACTACAAGACCGCGGGGTTGATTCGCAATATGTGGATCTTTCTGAAATCATTGATTTCCCCATCGGTGCCCACGGCTTGGACCAAGACTTTTATAATACTTTGGCAGCAGCTTTCGGCAGCAAAGTCGAGGCCTGCGGGCACCGTGTACCTGTGATGACTGGGTACTTTGGTACCATCCCCGGTGGTCTGCTTGATCAAATTGGTCGTGGATATACCGATCTCTGTGCTGCCCTTGTCGCGGTCGGAACCCGCGCGCAGGAGCTGCAAGTGTGGAAGGAGGTGGATGGCATATTTACCGCGGACCCGCGTAAAGTGCCAACAGCTCATCTGCTACCAGCGATTACCCCCGCCGAAGCCGCTGAATTGACCTTCTACGGATCGGAAGTCATTCATCCGTTCACCATGGAGCAAGTCATTCGCGCAAGGATCCCTATTCGTATTAAGAACGTCATGAACCCAAAGAACGAAGGCACAATCATCTTCCCTGACTGTGTGGCTGAGCTGGAGAGAACCACACCGGGACATGATCCGCGTCTGTTCCGGACCCGGAGCCCCAGTCTTGCGCAGACCCCGAAACGGCCGACAGCAGTGACCATCAAGCATAATATCCTGGTGATCAACGTGCATTCCAACAAGCGGTCGCTCTCTCATGGCTTCTTTGCCGGCATTTTTTCCGTATTGGACAAGTGGCGCCTATCGATTGATTTGATCTCGACTAGTGAGGTCCACGTGTCCTTGGCCCTTCACTCGGAAATGCCCCTTTTGAATGGAAATGGACAGGATGAGTACCAAGTCATTAACGAGGACCTTCAGGGGGCATTGAATGACCTGGAGAAGTACGGAACTGTCGACATCATCCCTGAGATGGCCATTCTCAGCTTGGTGGGCAAGCAGATGAAGAATATGGTCGGCGTCGCAGGCCGTATGTTCACCACACTCGGAGAGAACAGCGTGAATATCGAGATGATCTCGCAAGGTTAGTGAATAATTGCTGATCCCCAGTCCCCCACACCCCCTCACTCCACCCTCCTTGACTGAGGCTAACTCGATCTTTCCCCCTCGCAGGTGCAAGTGAAATCAATATCTCCTGCGTCATTGAAGAACGAGACGCCGACCGTGCCCTGAATATCATCCACACTAGCATGTTCACCTTCTTGGACTAAACGTCCCACATTTGCGCATCGAGCAAAAAGTCATTGTTTAAGATATCCCTTGGGTTTTGTTTGTGATAGAAAAAAGTTATGCATCCCGGAAGTCGTGGCCCCCTGTCGAGGGGGCACGGCCTTTGTTGGGAAAACCAAGCATAGGCTTTCTTTTTTTGTGATGCATGGGCTTGGCGTATTGTTTTCCCCGGTCTCTTTTTTTTTCTCCCTGATTTTAGAATAGAAGTCATGAAGCGTTGGTTTCATGAGGGTTTCCTCAAGGTCGGAGATATTTTAATCACATCTATATCGCATATATTGGATTTCTTCCCTTTCCATTGAATTACCCCTCGCTCTTCTTTTCGTTCTATCCTTTTGACCTCATTTTACATCATACGATACATGCATAGAAGAAAAAAAAAAAAAACTATCTTTAGACCTCACATGTCACAGTGTTTTACAAGTTGTGGATTGTTGGACATTATTATCGTTTGAAATGAGTTGCTAGGTCCTTGCAATCTTGTTACTCCGTACCTATGCATGTAGGTATTGGCATGCCATATATCAATCAAAGACACGGTTCTAACCTGTCTACAGAGTATGTGGATCGTTTCAATTGCTATTACATTCTAGCTGGATTTAGCTACCTAGCATCCCTCTCTAGTTTCACTCAAGATTTGGAGACTACCTTTAGTGTTAATGTCGGGTTGTCTCGAAGCCTTGTGATACTAACCTCCTCAGCTTAGATCTCCTTCCTTACCAATGCCCTTCTTCTCCCCGATTGTGCCCCGATAGTGGCCCGTAACTGCATCTAAATTCTCCAATGGCTTGGTAATGGGCAGGAATTATCAAGCCGAGAAAGGTTCATTGTGGCATTGAGTGCCCTCAGGTAAACGGCGAGAAAGAAAATCCATGATAGGGTACTGTACGTACAACGGCCTAAATACGGGGTACTTTGTACAGTGCATGAATCTGTTACATGGATGTCTGATATACAAGCAAGGGCATAGGGAGTAGGGATCTCCCCTAGATTCAAATAATAGATTCCCAGTTCTAGCTTCAATGCATTACCCTCTACCCCGTATACGAAGTAGTCCATGCTCTCTGTACGGAGGTCTGATTATTAGGTTACGGAACCTGCAGACATGAGTGCAGCACATGCGTTGTACGATGCAGAACTGGAAAGTCGATTGGCCCTCGAAGCACCCGAGAGCCATTTGCCACTAGTCAAGGGCGTGAGGGAGATCCTCCATTGACAGCGGAGAAACAAGGGATAAAAATCACCGTTTCAGTTACATCGACACGTCTGCATACCGGGATGACTGGGCCAATTGGGGTTACGAATGGGATTTAAGAATAGTATGCATAGTTTCGGTCTATGCAGAACTAACAACACACTGTTAAAGATAGATCCAATATGTCATATATAGTTATATATATATATATATATATATATGTCCAATAGTGCCATTTTCAAACCATCAGGCAATAATGCAGAGAGACCTGACATACTCCTCGGTGGATCAGATCGACGCTAGAAAATGTGAGCAAGGGAGGGGACCCCCTTTAGTACGAGATGTTGAAACTATAATACAAATAATACCACCTGAATATACCCCACCTTTCATAATAAAACGCGTGACGCGTCTATATAATTACCATACATTACAAGTATTATCAGACTATCTCCATTGATCTCCCTCTTCTCTCCTCCCCCCGCCTTTCTTCTCAAGAAATTGAACATTTCTAGAATTCTATAATAATGATTTAGTACCTTCCAAGGTTTTACAGAGAAAGAAGGAAAAAAAAAACCCCCCCAAAGGCCTTTTCGTCTTTGTCACAGAGCCCCATTCTTCCCAAGGTTCTCTTCCCGGTTTTACTCGCTACCTTCCATTCTCTCTCTCTCTCGCGCGCGCGTATCTATCCTCTCTGTATTCTTCTCTCTATTATCATCAGCTTCAACAGTTCATACACCATATTTGGTTATCTCCCAAATTTCATCTCTATTATCTGTGATTCGCGCAACTGGTGTGACGGCTTAGCGCCTTGTGGCCCAACTTGTCTAAGCTGCATGACGGCCTGAGGTTGACTTTTCACTCTCAATCTACGGAGTACGATTGGCCCAATCGGAATTCTCTGCACAGTCTCATCACATCTAGACACGGCTCGCTCGTGTGTCGCAAACTTGGCTGGAGGCCTTGTTTTCAACAGTCGCGCTCTTCCCTCATCTCTGTTTACGCGTCATATGGTCTCTCTCTTGACTGGTGATATTGTGACTTGGTGTCCTATCGTTTAGGTGATGGGATCAACGCGTTCTACGGGCGCACACTATTCTTCAGTGCTAGCCCCATCAGCCCAAGAGATCATCAGATCGCAGCCCCGTCTACAACCCTCACCGCTACCACTCCAGCCCATTCACAACTCGTCTTCCCATCCGTCTTCGGGCCCGCACAGGCCATCGCCGACAAAAGGACTTCACCCCCGTGGCTCTCATTCGCGCCACGGAAAACTCGGTTTTATTCCCATATCTGCTCCCACTCCTCCCATGTTTACCACCGACTCCCCAGCCAAGAAAGCGCCATTCCCCATCTACTCTCAAACTTCTATGCCACATTCTGCTCTCTTCACCACCTTCTCCAGCGTCAATCCCGAATCACAAGAAACCCACCTTCCCGAAGAACCATCCAATGACAGTTTCGCGGATTTCCCAGAACCATCTTATGATCCCAAACTTCCGATGAAGCGTACACTCATGGAGGCTGCGCCGCTCAAGGAGCGATCTAACAAAAAACAAAAGCGCGACGACGCGCCGATGGCTTACCTACCCGAACCGCACGACATGCCGCAAGTGGAGGATGATGGCACCAAGCCTCCATACAGCTATGCTACCTTGATCGGAATGTCAATTTTGCGCGCAAACAACCGTCGCTTGACGCTAGCGCAAATTTACAAGTGGATTTCTGATACCTTCTCATACTACAAGAACAGCGACCCCGGTTGGCAGAATAGCATCCGACACAATCTGAGTCTCAACAAGGCATTTATTAAGCAAGAGCGGCCCAAGGATGACCCTGGCAAGGGTAACTACTGGGCCATCGAGCCCGGTATGGAGGCGCAGTTCCTCAAAGACAAACAAGTGCGCCGCGCCACCATGTCCAGCCTTCCTCTTCCTGCTGCTCCCCAGAGAGATCTTCCTCAGTCGCAAACCGCAAGCACCACGACCTGGATGGTACCGCCGCAGCCGGCTTACAACGCGCCGCCTCATCACGCGCCTGCTCCTCGGCCAGCTCCAAATGACTTGTCTTCGGATGCTACATTGCCTGCGTCTGATCCTGCTCTTCAAGATGATGCGGACGAAGTTGTTCCGGTTCCTGCGCCACGCGCACCGCCACGTTCCTCTCCGCCGCAGGCTATTCGATCATCCCCTCCCATCGCTCCTCCCCGATTTGCCCGCCAGGGTACTCCCCCTACCCCCACTCAATCTGGTCCTACCCCCGCGCCTCGTCCGCGCAAACGCAAGTCGATTACTATGAATGACAGTGGCTATTTCTCATCCTTGGAGTCATCGGCCCTCAGACCTAACAAGGCTGGGCATATCTTGACATCCGATCTGGATATCGAGCCTCCGCGCATCAAGCGTGGCCGCGCCGAAGAAGAGATCGCGCGCATGCGTAGCTCATCGCATGATGTTAGCCCCGGTCAACCACCAGCTCGCAAAAACCCCAACCCACCTATTGGTTCATCACCCCTCCGCAGCCAGTATGTAAGCATGCAGCCGCCTCCATTGACACCTATCATCAAGTTCAAGAAGCCTGCCCGCCCGCCACCATCTGTGTCTCCCAATACCAATCTACGAAACCATCGCCGAAAGATCCAGCAAATGGTCAACTCGCCCCTCAAGCACCTAGGCCTTTCTGAGGATGTTCTTCCTTGGAGCCCAGCTTTCAATCTCCAGGAAGAGAGTTACACTCCTCACGATCATTTCCATACCTCCTTTGATGTTTTCGCGGACCCTGAATCAGCACAGGTATCCTATGGATCTCCCGAGAAGCGTTCAGCGAAGCGTTCGCGCACTGGCAGTGGCAACACTGTGCTTACAGACGTCACGTCAGTAAACATCAATACCCGCCTGGGTATGCCCTCATTGTCCCGCTCCAAGTCCACAATGTTCCCTGAGTCGCCGTCCAAGCTCCCTGACATAAATCGCTTCGGAGATGCTGGCCAAGAAGATTTCTTCTCATTCCATCTATTTGATGAAAGCAATGACAGTCCAAGTGAAGTCGATGGTGTTGATCTCTTGCAAGGCTTCCAAAAGATTGGAGGCGTGAGCAAGGATGAAACTCTGAAACCCAGGGCACTTCATCGACCACAAATTGGCCACCGCAGCAATACGACATTGTTTTAAGACACTCTCAATTCACGACTTGTTTTTTTTTTGTTTCTAGGTGGGATCTCTGGGAGACCCACCTTGTTCGATTCGGTTTTTGTCGTTTATTCCTGCTTTATTCTCCCTACTATCCCCCTATTGCCCTCCCTGCTTTTGTCCCCCCACAAGCTTTGTTTCTTGTTTTTTGGATTGTACTGGAGTTCTCAGTGATGTTTCCAAGGTCTTGTGGGCGGTGTTTTTCTTTGGGAGTTTTTGGGCTGCGCTGATGGAGCCGGTTCTGATATTTCCTCCACTGAGCCCAGGATGGCCTGGTTATGATATTAATGACGATGCTAAGATGTACATGCAAGCGATGGTTTTTATGATTTGGATATCGGGGTTGGGGGCTATCTTTATGGGAAACTACTGGAACACACATTGAAGGCGTTATTTGATTAATGTATGTAGTTAGCAATTGAAAGTCATTGTCCGATTATCAAAACTGTTCCATGAGCCATTCAAGCTTTGAAGGGTATCTGATTGACCCAATGAATGGATCTAATAGAGTAAGAAAAAAAAATGTCATAAAACACAGAAATGCATAGTACCGAAACGCCCTATCCGATGCCCGGTGGATGTGTGTGGCTGACCCCAATCCACAACTCTCTCCCCGGCCAAATTGAAACTCTCCCAGTCATCAAACCTCAGCCTCTATTTTAGTCGCTACTTCCACAGCCGTTGCAGCCACAGCTGACACACTGAATCGTCTGGTCCTCCTTGAGCTGCGCCTTGGGCACTCGGCAGATACACGTAGAATTGAAATTTGTCTCTTTCGTTTGGACACAGCGCAGGCAGCACAACTAGGGAGATCAGTTAGTTTACATTCTGAATAGAAGTGCTCGAAAGGGCAGAACTAACCTTTTCATAGCCTTGCTTCTTCCACTTGGCGATCAAGTTGGCATCAGCATACTTATTCTTGAGCAGGAAATCATATAACTCCTTCGAGATCGCTTCTTTCTCGTAGTAGAGTTCGTAGATGTATCGTGAGCCTAATAAGAGGGGCAAAAGTCAGTGAACCCGTATTTCTCGATGGGGAGAAGGAATTCGTACGTTGATGACTGATCTGGAATATGGGCCAGAGAACTTCATGCTTCTTCTTTCCTTCATGAGAGGCATTTTCCGCATCCTTCATTTTGTTGCTGAATTCCAACAGGGTATCCTCGAGATCGTCGAATCCGGCCGGAGGCGGTTTGCGATTTCGGGAAGTGCGGATGGGAGGCATGGCGATATGTTATGAACAAGGATGACGAGATAGATGTGATATGATATTCAAAGCGATCGTGTCCGATCAGACAGACTGTGTTTTCTCTCGATGTTAAATGAGAAACGAAGGATGCAAGTTGCTATCGATAGGGAAAACTGCGCGTCATTTTTGTGCCGTTATCCACCGCCTTTGATTTTGAATTGCGGTCTTCCTCCAGCTACCCTGCATTGCCTTGCTGCTATCTCAGTCTCCTCCCATTTTACCTCAATCGCTACTTGAATCTCTCATACCGCCATTATGGAACAACAGCTCGATCTCACCAAGCTCTCCGAGAGCGATAAGAAGGAGCTCAACCAGGTCCTGACCAACGAGGCTCAGAAGTCCAACATTCAGCAGAGTAAGTATCCATCTTTCTATCGGATATATTATACTTCATGATCTATAATATCTTGATTATGATCCTAGCACTTGATGTCATCACCTCTGGAATCAGTCAATAACTAACATCAATCCCTTCTAGCCGTCCACCACCTGAACGAGGTGTGCTGGGAAAAGTGCGTCACCAGCAAGATCACCTCCGGCACCCTTGATAAGTCTGAGGAGTCATGCGCACAGAACTGCGTTGACCGATGGATGGATACCAGTCTGGCCATCCTGTCTAAGCTGGATAACATGCGCGGCGGTCCCGGCCACTAAGCGTTTATCTGTCTTTTGTTCTCAGTTTCTGCTATTACTGCTTCTGATTGCCGTCTGGATGTGATGCATGTCTATGGATATGTCAATTATTCATGAAGACTGATTTTGGTTGGAGCTATGCTCTACTTTTGCTCCTTGGATGGCGGTTGGACGGTTTTATTTTGGGGTTTATGGATGGATAGACGGATGGAACCATCACTTGTATACTAGAGTGTCAATTTATGAAACATGTTGTCTTGTACAATATATGCTGGACTTGTGGGGATGTTTGTAGAAAAAGTGGTTCATATCCTTATCCTTATGATGCTACCATTTTCTAAAAAAGTGGTGAGAAGATGCAATATCGAGGGTATGTAGGTTGGAGCGCTTTTACATTCGGACTACATAGGTATGAATAAGTAGGAATACATACTGAACTGGGGTAATTGCAAAAGTCTGGCCCTGTAGAAACCAGGTGTATAACTGCAATGCTGGCTATTGTCTCAGTGCACTAGATAACCAGCCATTCAGCCATTTACAATATCTGTGATAAACTATAGAAACTACATAGAGAAATCTACGGAGTACAATACAGCACACTACGCGATCTGGAACATGTCTTAGCCATTACAGGACCGACAAGTCCAACGATTCTTCTGGAATCGTGCATTTCACTTTCACAAGTTATGTTCTTTTTGATCATTCAGCCCGGCTGGTATTTTAGCATCACCGCAGTGTAAAACAAAGTTCGCCAAAACCCTAAGAAATCCCTTTTCAAGCATTCCCCGCTTAGACAATGGCCAACTTGGTGGCAGCAATGTCAAGAGCATCGACATCGGGGGTAAGACGGGCGAAAGCCTTCTTGGTTCCGTCAGGGCTAGAGAGTAAATGTTAGCTTCCAATCCACCTATATTCACCAAAAGTAAAACATACCGGATAAGAGTGTTGATCTTGACGGTGTCAACATCGTACAGCTTCTTGAGAGCCTGCTTGATCTGGCGCTTGTTGGACTTGACGTTGACGATGAAGACGAGGGTGTTGTTCTCCTCGATCTTCTTCATGGCGCTCTCAGTGTTCAGGGGGTACAGAACAATCTTGTTGAAGTCCAGAGCGGGGCCGTGGTTGACGGACACGCGGGGGTACTTGGGGGACCGCGACAGCTGGAGGGTCTTGGGGCGGTGGAAGGTGGCCGAGGTGCGGACCTTGCGGGACTTGTGAAGCTGTTGCCACAACCGCGTTAGCGATAGGCTCCAAAAGGGTTTCTTTGGTCTGCTTCATCTTTTGCTACGTACCGAAGCGCCCTTGGCAACCGCCTTGGCGGCGGCGTTGGCCTTGTTCTTGCCTGTAGAGAAAATATCGTTAGCCTAGCGAACTAGAAAAAAAATCCAAAAAGTTCGACGGTCGATTGCCAATTGTGAATTTGCAGATGTGAATGTGGTAGGTCAAGTATTCTGAATCGGAGGCGCAGATTTGAGATCGGTAAGCATATGGCGATGCAGATGGGTGCTGCGATATAACCTGATGTATCCGGCTCTTTGCGACTTGATCTCCAAATATCGAAATTTTTTGATCCTGAATATCTTCCTCCACGTCCACACGACGAATTCACAATTGGCAGGGCGGCGGTCGTAATTGGAAGAGCGTATGATTATTTGAACATACCGGTCTTGTTGTCGGAGGGGGCCATGGCTGTCGTCGGTCGCTGTCGATGATGGATTATCGCAGTGTCAAAAGTCGAGCGGATTTGGAGTGGTCTTCGCTTAGCGAAAACCCTAGTGCTGTGTGTGGGTCAGGTGACTTCAAGTCCTCTGGGTCAGTGGTATTCTTGGTATTTTTCAGTACACAGTGATACGGTATGGTCACTTTAACGTCCAATCAGAATCGACATCGTATTTGGCTCTCTTTTCATTTTCCTTGATCAGCTTTTCTTTTGCTTGCCAGTGACCTCCTCTCCCTTTTGTATATTCGTTCAAGGAGATCCGAAGATACAACGTATTCTTGATAACCGAATCTATCATTCTAATCTTTTGATTCATTGCAATCATTAAGACATGGCTCCCCAGAAACGATCCAAGAGGCCGATGTTATTGTCGCATAGCCGGCCTCCAATTGTCAAATCCAAGGATGCTGCTCTTTCAGCTAAAGCTACCCGTACTTTGATTCGGACCCATCATCGACTTCTCAAAGTCCGGGCCCAAGCTCTAGCTGCCGGGGACGAAGCCCGAGTCAGCACCATTGACGCTCAAATCAAAGCCAATGGCGGTCTCGAAAGCTATCAAATCGCCAGTAAACTAGGCCAGTCCATGGACCGCGGTGGGGATTCCAGCAAAGTCCTCATCGATTGGATCAAGCCGCAACTGAAGCAATGGAACAACACTATTCCAAAGATTCGGGTCCTTGAAGTTGGAGCTTTGAGCACGAAAAATGCTTGCTCTACGAACCCGGCCTTGGACGTCACCCGGATTGACTTGAATTCCCAAGAACCGGGGATCCTCAAGCAAGATTTTATGGAACGGCCTTTGCCCTCTAGTGATGATGAACGATTCAACATGATCAGCCTGTCATTAGTGCTCAACTATGTTCCTGATGCTACGGGACGTGGTGAAATGCTCAAGCGTTGTGTCAAGTTCCTGACGTCGAAATGCCCTATTGAACTCGTTCCTAGTCTCTTTCTAGTATTGCCTATCGCATGCGTTGACAACTCGCGTTACCTCAACGAGGAAAGACTAGGGGAAATCATGGCTTGTCTGGGCTTCCGTCTAACACAAAGCAAGCGGACTTCAAAACTTGTTTTTCATCTATGGGAACACAATGGCACCTACGCACCCAAGGCTTTCAAGAAGGAAGAGTTGAGATCAGGCAGAACAAGAAACAATTTCGCCGTCATTCTCAACAAGTGATTATTTGCATGCAAAGCAAAATGCTATTATACTCCATGTACAATGCTGCAGGCGGAAACTAGTTTGCAGAGAGCATGTCTTGTGGCAAGAAGGCCCAGATGGTCCCCACAGCTGCCAGTATCGAGGAGAAGATGAGCAGAATCCAATCCAGGATGTACTCGCCTCGACTGATCTCCTTTCCAAAGATCTTGAGATAAAATGCAAGAGGGAAGATGATACAGATCGTGAAGCACAAGAACGATCCCAGGAAAGCCATGATACGGTCGAAAGCCGGGAAGATAACCGCCAAAGTAACAATCACGGCCACTACAAAAATGCGGACCATTGCCCGTGCGATTGTTTGTAGTGTATCCGGGCCATTTTCAGGAGGCACATGGCTGCCTCCCAGTCCACAAAGAACTTCAAATGTGGCCACAAGAGGGCGGGCACTGTTTTATTGTCAGCAGTGTCCGAGAATACATGAAGGCATTGGACTCACTTCAGTGGCACTTTCGTGAGCGGGATGATTGCAATGAAGACTACAATGCAGACGGATATGGACTGCGGGTAGTCAGTGATGGTGAGAATGTTCGCAGTGATTTCGTCGCGGACAATATCGCCAAACATGAGCCAACCAATGATCGCCATTGAGCAGTCCAAAGCAAACTGTCAACTCGTTAGAATTGAACTTTATCCTAGTCACTCCACACAAGTTCTTACTGTGAAAATATAGGTCACTGAAAGACTCTTCCCGTATTTCTGAGGGTGCCTCATATCTCTGTAAATGTTAGGGAAGACACCGTGGCCACCCCATGGTGCTTTTCAACAGTTAGCTTTATGATCACAATTGGTTTTGGCCGTTTACTCACACATAATTAGACCAAAACTCAGAGGGAGCGTAGCCCAATTCTCGGGGAAGAGGAATGTATTAGATGGCTGCCGCAATGAGCCGGGTGCATCTGGCTTGATAAGGCCATCGATGCAAATGAGTGCCACGACTTGCGAATGTCAGTTCCATCTGTCAACTTCAGCTCGGAAGAAAACTCACTTGATGTGCACGAAATTATACCCAATATGCTGGTAATACTCAGGAATCGTAGGGGCAGGAAGTTGAGCGGTACAAGCACAACTCCACAGACGATCTTCCATTGGAGGATGCTCAGCCCTGGTACCAGGGCATATAAACTGTCTGCGAAAAGCACAACCAGCGCCACGCACGCTCCTAGAAGTTCCAAGCAGAACAGAAAACTGGTTACCAAACGGGCATGTTGCCCGAAACTGATATAAGCCAGATCAGCATACGTGAGAACGCTCTGGTCGACATCCAGACATTTTGCCAGAATCTTGGCTGTATAGGACGTAGCAACTGCCGAGAAGACAAGGAAACTCAATCCCAAAATCCACCCGGCATGCTTCATCGCCAATGGAAGACTCAGCAGACCGATACCGATTAGCACATTAACTGAGTTGAAGATAGTCTGGGGAACAGTTGATTGCCCGACGATAATATCCTCCTGGGTCCCATCTTCGTGTTGGACATGCTTGACAAGCAATGGGCCTCGGTCCAAATCTCCAGAACCATCCACATGCGCTTGGGGATGGAGCTCTCGGTGGAATTGAATCGCATTCCTCCGTGTCGACGCGCTCATCCGTGAGGAGACGGTGCCATACGAGGCCGCAAAACTTCTATCAAACGATGAAGCAAGCAGCCCAGTACTAGGTAATGCCCTCTTGGAAGACTCAGGCGCTTGTGCACCCTCATCATCCTGGTCCGAGTCCGAGTCCCCCCGAAGCAGAGGCCGGTCCACATCCGAGTGCTGACCCCAGGATGGAGAACTTCTTGACCCATATTCTTGGCCGGTGGCAATGCCGAATTCATCGTCCGAGTACGTGGAGATAAACGACGACCGGCGTGGTATGACTTCTGGGAAGGCCGCGGCTCTCTGCCATGACCGTGCGAAGTTGTCTATACTGTTTGGACCCCCGGCTTGGCGGATTCGAATTGAGTACGACGGCGACCTGCGCATAGTTAGCTAATCTGGTTTTTGTAAACAGCGGAAGTGCACATACCTCTGTCTACCTCCGAACTCTGACTCGGCGATCGGACTCCCGCGATCTATGCCATGATCATAGGAGCTTGGTGTTGCAGCTGGTATCCTCGACGAGCCATCGACCGGTTCGTCGTGACCTTCATCTGTTCTTCTAGCTGTTGACATATTTTCCCGTTACCACACGATAGTAGCGACCCTATGAGGTTTCCAGGTTGGCGCGAAGTGAAGGAAGGGAAGTCAAGACTAAAAGGAAAAACTCCCCTCACTTATCACATGGAGATAGCTCGCGACAGATAAGAGTCTTAGAGGCGAGACAAGCCTGCGATGTTAAAAAGAGCTTAGCGTCAAAATGAGCTTCCGCTAGTGTGGGGTGCGGATCACAGAAATTTGATAAGCTAGAGATTTCTTTTGTGACTAATTGAATGTAGTTGTAGGTATTGTCTAAGGACATTTATAAATTAATAGACCTGATATAGGATATCTCATTTCTCCTATTCTTTCCAAGGTTATATATGTCATGCAAGGATGTTACTTTCTAGACCAATGAGGATCTGAGTTGTGTTTTTGAAACAACCCGGTACTGAATACATGAGATATATATTAGACATATTTTGCATAATATGCAAAGTGCAGAATTGGTCTACTCGGGCCTATTAATATGCTGAGGACACTTACATGGAGTATATGGGGTATATAGTACATAAACAGGGGGGCAACTATAGAAAAAAGAGCCTATGTACCGGTACCTGAGCACCCAGTTGTTGGGCCATAACCCGGCTAGTACCAGATACGTCACGGGTAGCCCTGGCTTACCTCAGCGTGGCAGCCGACCCCTCGAACAAACTTATGTCCAACCCCACGAGGAAATTTGCTGTCGCTTTAGAACGTCATATTCAGTTAAGGTATGTACTCTGAATCTATGAAGTATTGGAAAGGAAAAAAAATTACCAGTTATTTATGCACTACTTTTTCACACTTACTAACTTTTATCAGGTGTAAAACAGGCAAGACTAAATCTTTGTTCGCCGACTCCCGCCCCCATTACTGACCGAGTCTTCAGGCGTCCGCAGGGCCTCCGATATTCTCCTCCCCCTGATCACTGTCGCCTCGTCAAGATGAGCGCCCCTCCGCCGAACGAAGCTGAGAAGAATATCGAGATCTGGAAGGTCAAGAAGCTGATCAAGCGTCTTGAATCCGCTCGTGGAAATGGAACTTCCATGATTTCGCTCATTATTCGTGCGCTGCCATTGCCCCCCGCCACTTATGGTCACTCGCTAACACCAATTTAGCCCCCAAGGATCAAATTAGCAGAGCAGCCAAGATGTTGGCTGAAGAGTATGTACGTGAATCATATACCTTCGATCTGTCTGCGCCGAACGCCGGCTAATTGCACACTAGGGTACCGCCTCCAACATTAAGTCTCGAGTGAATCGACTCTCCGTCCTGTCAGCCATTACCTCTACTCAGCAGCGTCTGAAGCTCTATAACAAGGTCCCTCCTAATGGACTGGTTGTGTACTGTGGTGAAATTATCACCTCCGAGGGAAAGGAGCGCAAGATTAACATCGACTTCGAACCTTTCAAGCCTATTAACACCTCCCTCTACCTTTGTGACAACAAGTTCCACACCGAAGCATTGAGTGAGCTTTTGGAGGCTGATCAGAAGTTTGGTTTCATTGTCATGGATGGTAACGGTACTCTGTTTGGTACTCTCAGTGGTAACACTCGTGAGATCCTTCAGCGTCTTACCGTTGATCTGCCCAAGAAGCACGTGAGTGGCCCCTGACTGATTGTGTATGATGTTCGTCCATACTGATCCATATAGGGACGTGGTGGTCAATCCGCTCTGCGTTTCTCACGTCTTCGTGAGGAAAAGCGCCACAACTACGTGCGCAAGATCGCCGAATTGGCTGTTCAAAACTACATCACCAACGACAAGCCCAACGTCGCCGGTATTGTGTTGGCTGGTTCCGCCGATTTCAAGAACGATCTGAACCAGTCCGATCTGTTCGATGGTCGTTTGCAATCCAAGGTTATCAAGGTTGTCGATGTTTCCTACGGTGGCGAGAACGGTTTCAACCAGGCCATTGAATTGGCTGGCGAGACCCTGAGCAACGTCAAGTTCGTTCAGGAGAAGAAGCTTATTGCCCAGTACTTCCAGGAGATCAGCCAAGATACCGGCAAGGTCTGCTACGGTATTGATGACACCCTGAAGGCAATGGAACTTGGTGCTGCTGAAATCTTGATTGTCCACGAAAACTTGGAGATCACTCGCTGGGTTATGAAGACCGCGGAAGGCGCTCAGGTGATTATCCACACGAACAAGATCCAGGAAGCCAACAAGGACCTCTTCGTGGACAAGGAAACCGGATTGGACATGGAAGTCATCGAGTCAGGCTCTTTCCTCGAATGGCTCGCCGAGGCCTACAAGGACTTCGGTGCCAATCTGGAGTTCGTGTCTGACCGATCCGGCGAAGGAAACCAGTTCGTCAAGGGATTCGGTGGTATCGGTGCTATTCTCCGATACAAGGTCAACTTTGAACAGCTTGCCGATCACAGCGATGATGACGAGTTCTATGACGGTATGTTCCCCCCCTTTTTTCGTGTCTTATGTTGATATTAACTTCTCTGCAGATTGACGGTATTGCCCCCTCGCAGAGAGCGAGGATGAACGGCCAGAAGCTCCCACGACGAGTCTTTTGACGGCTCGCCCCGTGGATCATGCAGGCGGCTCCCGCGATGGAACCAAGGCATCCGTGAAGGATAACCAAAACAGGCCTGGTCCAAGCCCCGTGAAGCTGCTCAGAGGTGAGACATCTAACTAGACTATTACTCCGGGTTGGCTCTAATGTTTTGAGTACAGTGTCGTCCAAGCTCCAAGATACGCACACTGAGGTCACCTCAGTGTCTGAGATGAAGATGAGGTTTAAATTGCAATTTGAAAGGTTGGGTGCGGTTAGCTTCAACATTTGGTCATCCACCGCTGCTTGCACTGCTTACTCTATGTAAGCCGGACGGCCCCGGGGGTTGGATTGTTTTTATTGCTCAGCCAGTTCTGTCATTTCAGCTCTGAATGGCATTTTCTGGTCCTTCGCTCGTTATTTGCTCGTTATTCCAAAAAAAAGCACCCGAAAGGGTTATTATAGAAGGTGCTATTTATTGTCCATTAAGTTTTCTGTTTTCTGTTTTATCTTGCGGTGTACATTTTGTCCATACCATCGACAGTACGTACAATTTTCTTTCATTCAATCGTATAGTAAACCGAAATATCTTCAACATATATGACATGACCCTTTTAGTGCGCCTGCAAAATAATCAATGCATTGCTTTTAATAAAAAAGACCAAGATGGGCCTCGAATTAGAACTAATGAGTCCAGTCAAGCATTGCTCGCACTTAGTTGATCTTTCCAGGTCCCCAAATCCTTACATGTCTCACTGACTTGACGCAGATCATTGAGAGCCTTGTGGACTGCCTCTTTGTTCTTATCCGAGGGTGTCCTTGAACACTCAACGAAGAAGATATACTGCCAAGGCTTCTTCAGACTCGGCCTTGTGTTAATGCTCGTAAGATTCAAACCATGAGCCTTGAAGATCAACAGCGCATTCGCCAATGCACCGGGAGAAGAATGATCAATAGTGAAAGCAATCAAAGTCTTATGCGTAGTTTCAAGGGCAGGCACGGCTTCCACTGTTGGCGGGTTGGGCTGCTCCAGTTTGAAACGGGCAGTTCCCTCATCGAGCACATTTCTGAAGATCAGAAAACGCGTAGTATTGTCTGCTCGGTCCTCGATGTTTTCCACAAGGATGTCCGTCCCGTGTTGTTCTGCCGCGAAGCGATTGGCAATGGCAGCACTTCGTTCCGTTGTCTCCTTGGAAACAATCTCCGCCCCCTTGGATGTTGACGTGACATCCTGTCTTTCGACGCCCTTGAAATATTTGGTCAGGAAAGTCTCGCACTGGCCCCATGCCTGCGGGTGTGTGTATAGCTTGGTTATCGAGCCGTCGTAGTCTGCCCAACCACCGGGGAATGTACCCTTGTGCACCATTAGGCAATGGTGAACTGTCAGGTAATATTCCCCGCACACTTTCACATCTTTATATGAACCATCCCGGTCGGCCAAAAGGTCTAGTGTTTGCACCACAGAGCCATTGGTTGAGTTCTCGCACGGAATCACAGCGTAGTCGACTTCTTTGTTTTGGAGCGCGGCAAAGGCATCGGGGAATGAGACTTGAGGTTGTAGATCGGCGGATAATTTGCAAAAGGACTCTGCAGCAGCCTGAAACAGGGATCAATCATCAAGTTAAATCGCCAAGAATGTGGGGTAAAGTTTGTACCTGATGCGAAAATGACCCCAATGGCCCTAGAAAGGCGACTCTCAAGGGAGCCATTGTGACTGAAGTATAGGTAGGGTTTTTCGTGTTAATTGACCTGAACTGACTTGGAATCAAATCAAATCTTCTAATGACTCGTCATATCTTTGACAAGCGACTTCGGATCTCCGAGCGGTGAGAGCTGAATAGGAAATGAACGACAAACAAACAAATCAAACTCATGAGTTCATTGCGTCAAGTGAACTTGCGATTTGATAACCAGCCGATTTAGTCGGTTTCTTTGCCCATGAAGACAAATACACTCCGACCCCTGATCTCTTTGCGAGGTGGGCGTCATGCATGTCGGACTTACTCGTCGCTCTCCGAGCGCTTGCATCATGAACTGACTACAAGGAAGCTCCCGTTGACTTACGACTATCTGCACCCCCAACCGTCACATCTTCTGAACCTCACACTCCGTGATCTTCTTCCGCATCCCCAGACCTCCTCTGATTATGCGACCCTGCCATCATTACAGAGCCCGTCACCGCTCCCGGTCGGTCACCACTTAATCTACTTCCCGCCGCAGGTGACCCTGTCCCAACTACTCCCGGACTGCACAGATACGTTACACACACCGGGGGAACCGTTTAATCGGCGCCTTTGGGCAGGTGGAAATCTAAGGTTCCCAGTACGCAGTCCGCCTCTGGATGGCAGTCGCGCAGTCTGCATAGAATCCATCCGCAATGTAGCAGTCAAGGGCCGCGAGGGAGACGAGAAAGTCATTGTCACTATTGAGCGACGGGTTGGAAATGTCCCGGAACAAGAGACTGCTGATAAGACTTTTGACCGGATATGGAAAGAGAACGAAGACGACGCGGGGGAATCGTCAGTCATTGAGAACCGAGACCTCATTTTCATGCGCTTAAAATCCAGCGCCCAAATTGAGGCCGATAAAGCACAATTTGGAAAACCTAGTAGGGTTGTGAAACGTGAGCATATACTTGAAACCATTAAACATGATCACAGATGTGCTAATTATTCCGGCGCAATGAAGCTCCCTCAGATGCGACGTTCCGCCATGCCCTCATACCTACTAAAGCGCTGTTATTCCGATTCTCAGCCCTGACTTTCAATGCCCATTCCATCCACCTTGATAAGGGCTATACCCAGGATCAAGAGGGATACCCGAATCTTTTGGTGCACGGTCCGTTGACGCTCACGCTTCTGCTGAGTGTGCTTCAGCAACAACTGAGTAGATTGAACCTCCGCATCAGTGACATTGAATATAAGAACCTAGCACCTCTTTTTGTTGAACAAGAGATGGCCATCTGTGGCAAGCCTAAGAATGATACTGGGGCTTGGGATGTGTGGATTGAAGGTCCAGATGGAGGGTTGGCTGTTCGAGGTACTGCGCACACGACGTCGGAATAATATATCCAACTACACCCATTCCCAAGCGATATATTTGTACATCTACATGAGAGTATTTGAATATTATCTCATTTGGAAATGACACAAGTAATAATAACAGTCACCTACAAAGCTAGGGGAGTCGAAGCTGATAGAACAATCCACTGTATGGATCCGCAATACAATAGTACGTAAGCATCGGACCTCGGATAAACTCTACCGAAGCTAGATTTGCACACCTTTTTCTTTCCACCTGTCCTTCTCTTTCTTTCTTCAACCACACAGTAATTTGATTATTTTGTGAGCGGCTGTAATGATCTAAGCCGTGATCAATTAACCATATAGCATCTGATTCTTTTTCAATATGGATGTCTTCTGGGCGGCTCCCCCGGTCACTAGGTATGCAGGTCTTATTCGCCGATCTCAAGCTCTGATTACTGACCTGTCATTTAGGACCCTCACAGCCTTAACACTGGTTCAATCCGCTTTGATGTATGGCGGCTTACTGAGCTACTATTGGGCACCATTTGTGCCGAGTTTGATATTCTCATGGCGCCCGCATATCTACCGGCTGGTCACTCCATTTCTACTAACGGGACCGAAACTCGATTTCCTCTTTGATCTTTATATCAGTATGATGCCTTGGTATCAAATTGACCTGGCCTGATCAGAGTGCTAATGTACCAATAGTGTACCGCTATGGCAGTGCTGCGGAGAGAAGCATGGCTCCTGGAGAGTTCCTCATTTATCTCCTATTTGTAGCTTTCAGCATCATGGTAAGTGGCTCAGTAGAGTCTGCACTGTTTTCGCTTCTGTTTTCTTTTCTTTTTTTGCCTTCGCGTTCATATCCAATCCCTCGCTATAACTGCCCGCCCAGCTTCGAAATCTAGCTGAATTCGGTTCCTGAAGGCGAGGGAAAGCACCCCTGCATCTGTGCAACACCATCATATAATTCGCAAAATTCAGGTGTTGTGCAGGTGTGGGCATGGTGGGATTTCTTTCGAGTTCACTGGCGTGATTTCATATCGCGTCGGTATCGGAGGTGCCCTACATTTCTATATACATCATCTATTCTTTTCCAATACCATCCACATCCTATTTTACTCGTCATCCTGGTAGTCCAACACGTCTCTTCCAAATTTGCTGACTTTACCCTAGCTCACTGCAGGTGGTTATCTGGGAGCGGTTATCCTCCTGCAACGTAAGCTTACCGTACTCGATTAATTCTATGGCCAATACTGACTTGAAATAGCTTTGATCATGGCTTTCGTCTACACATACTCCCAGACGAACCGAGGAACGAAGACGAGGTTCTGGTTCATCGACATCCCGGTGGTATTCCTACCATATGCAATGCTTCTCGTCGAAATGGTGACAGACGGATGGCATAGCGCGCTGATAGGTTGCACGGGAATCGTCGCTGCCCATACTTATGATTTCCTCACACGCATCTACCCGACTTTCGGAGGTGGAAGAAATATCATCACTGTCCCTGGCTTCCTGGAGAGGTACTTCACCGAACATGACCCCAACAGTGGATACCGAGGATATGGAACAGCGAGCCGTGCGCCAAGGCCAGCTGAACAACCCTCGACGGCATCAACATCAGGGTCGTCCTGGAGCAGCTGGACCTCTTCGAATTCTTGGAACGGAAGAGGCGCTGGCCGGAGACTCGGTTAGATCGAGAGCCATACATACATACTCCACGCATTTTGTCGGAGTGCATAGGGGATAATACTTTGCAACTTGCAGACTTTTCGGCGTTCATTGTGCCTATATGGAGTTGACATAGATACATGTAGTGATAATTGGCAAGAACACAGTTTTGGGCATGTAGTTGTCCACAAATACAGATTTTTTAAATCCCAGTATTTTATAGTTTTTGAGCATATTTTATTAGATTATGGATATATTTTCCTAAATATAATCTATACTAGCGAATCGTCTCAAAATTAGAAGTCCTTGGAATCGGAGGCGTAAAAAGTCGAGAACTCAAAGTCACGTGTTGCCTTCTCCAGGCGCTAAACCGTTTCTGGCACTGGAGCTGCCGCACTCGCAAAATTTCCTTCGACAAATTTTCGGGGTTTTCACCGCGCATCCTTCAACGACAACCAACAAAATGGCCGTCGTCAAGACCTCGGAGATGGACTACGCCATCAAGCCTGAAGCGTCTGCTCCTCCCGTTGATTCATCGGAATGGCCGCTCCTGCTTAAGAACTATGAGAAGCGTACGCTTGTCCTTAAAACTCCACGTTTGACCAGCCAACATTGACTTTTTTTTGTAGTGCTCGTTCGGACCGGTCACTTCACCCCCATCCCTGCTGGCTCCTCTCCTCTTCACCGTGACTTGAAGTCGTACATCAGCTCCGGTGTCATCAACCTTGACAAGCCGTCGAACCCTTCCAGTCACGAAGTCGTGGCTTGGATGAAGCGGATCCTCAGGTAAATTAAAATCCATCAGATCCCCTCAATCGTTTTGCATCTTGCTAATCAATTTACCTTCTATAGATCCGAGAAGACTGGTCACAGTGGTACCCTTGATCCCAAGGTTACCGGTTGTTTGATCGTCTGCATTGACCGTGCCACCCGCCTGGTCAAGTCCCAACAGGGTGCCGGTAAGGAGTATGTTTGCGTGATCCGTCTCCACGACAAGATCCCCGGTGGCGAGGCCCAGTTCGTCCGCGCTCTTGAGACCTTGACTGGTGCGCTCTTCCAGCGTCCCCCTCTGATCTCTGCCGTCAAGCGTCAGCTCCGTATCCGTACCATTCACGAGAGCAAGAACTACGAGTTCGACAATGAGCGCCACCTCGGTGTCTTCTGGGTCAGCTGTGAGGCTGGTACCTACATCCGTACCCTCTGTGTCCACCTTGGTCTGCTCCTCGGTGTCGGTGCCCACATGCAGGAACTTCGCCGTGTTCGCTCTGGAGCCATGGCTGAGGGCCCTGGTATGGTCACTCTGCACGATGTTATGGACGCCCAGTGGGTCTACGACAACAACCGCGACGAGTCTTACCTCCGCAAGGTCATCAGCCCTCTCGAGTCCCTGCTCACCGGTTACAAGCGTATTGTCGTCAAGGACAGCGCTGTCAACGCCGTCTGCTACGGTGCCAAGCTCATGATTCCCGGTCTTCTCCGCTACGGTATGTGCACCTTTTTCCCCTCTGAGTTTTTCGAACCCTTACTAATTTTTTCTTCAGAGGCCGGCATTGAGTGCCACGAGGAGGTTGTCCTCATGACCACCAAGGGTGAGGCTATCGCCATTGGTATTGCTCAGATGTCCACCGTCGAGCTCACCACCTGCGACCACGGCGTTGTTGCCAAGGTCAAGCGTTGCATCATGGAGCGTGACCTCTACCCCCGCCGCTGGGGCTTGGGACCTACTGCCCTTGAGAAGAAGAAGATGAAGACCGCTGGAACTCTCGATGTAAGTGGCTAAAAACTACCTTTGCTCTTATACAACGTACTAACTTTGCCCTCAGAAATATGGCCGCACCAACGACGCCACTCCCGCTGCCTGGAAGAAGGAGTACAAGGACTTCAACCTTCCCATTACCGGAACCGCCGCTGTTGAGCCCTCCGCCGAGACTAAGACCGAGACTGAGACCCCCAAGGCGGAGTCCGCCGAGCCCGTGAAGGAGGAAGTCGAGGACAAGAAGCGTAAGCGCGACGGCGAGACTGCCGAGGAGAAGGCCGAGCGCAAGAAGAAGAAGAAGGAGAAGAAGGAAAAGAAGGAGCGCCGGAAGTCCAAGCAGGATGATAGCGATGACAGCGACTAGATGCACTCCAGGAAGACCGTCAGGTTTTTTTCCTGTACCATATTTTGCTATTTCCGGAGTCATGGGTCAAAAGGGAAATTTGTTCTATTCCAGAGTTTCATATTGAAGGCTGCCTATCTACTGAATCTACCATTCTTTCAAATCTGAGTAACCTCTGCAAATGAATACGTACATGTAGCGCTTGCTTTATTCGTTTCTTTCTTGGTTTATATCCGATGCTATTGATTCAATATATTATATAGTACGCTTTTTGGTGTCTCGTTACCATGGCCATACTAGTTGTCCAAATAAGTACACTCCATGACCCTAAGTCCTTCGAAAAAGTCGGACTTTACCCGCACCCGGTCCAATATATATCACCAATTTCAACTATACCTATCTCCACCAATATTACTCTGTTGGGCATATAATTATAAGTGATTGATATGTAATCAAACAAACCATTTACCTAGATTAATATCCAGTGTAATAACCCTTTAATTGACGCATCGTAAGCAATATCCTGGGTATAGATTGGTTTATATTGTCAAGTACATTTGACATACATCCTATGTAGTGCATATATAATGCTTAAAATACACATAATCCGCTCATTCCTGTTTCCTCTTATAACTCAGGGTGCATATTCAATCAATTAATCTTAAATAGCCACCGAAAAGGCTTTGTAGGGCTCAAATCGAGGTGAATGTGTAAGCTAATCCTCGATGTACATCACTCCGCAATTCCCGGCGGTAGATTTTCGAATTATATTAGAAAAAGTTGCTTCCTGGGTTGTAAATTAATAGGTCTTCTTTGAGGACGTCGAGGTAAAAATAGACAGTTAGGGGTGAAAAAATGGAAGACCGTGGATGTACATACAAAACGTCCTAGCAGAGGATGTATGCAGCGGTATAGGGGCCATACGACAAAATCTCCTTTTCAAACAAAATTAACACCTAACTAGATACTTGATTATGTCCTAGATACCTGAATCGTGACAGGCAGAAAAACAAAGATACTTGAATTACTGTATTACAAAGACCTTCATAATCAAGGTGCTTTTGGAAGTTCTATCAGCTAACCCTATAAGTAAGAAATGAAGGCTTTGGCACCATAAAAATCCATACATCTCTACTTTGTGAGGTAATTTATCAACTTGCAGGGCCAGAGTTACCCCGATCACCCGTGGGGAAGCTGTGAGCACTATCCTCAGAGCTATTATTACCTCCGACAACCTCACCAAAGGCCGCGGTGCCCGTGTATATA